TGGCGTCAGACTGGGCATTTCACCCGAACCGCTGCTCAGACTTTTCATCCTCGCGCCAGACGTAGATGCACGTGCAGTGTGTCGCAAAAGTTACAAGCGAAGCCACGTGCATGGGTTTCACTCGCAAGAGACGGTTTAGTTAGACCAGCACCACGTAACTTGCCGAAATTCCAAGCGCAGGTGTCTTCACGAAATCCGCGAAATGATATTTTCATTTACGCTTATGCGGCCAGTGCTTTTGAAATGAGACAAAATATTCGCCCTGAGTGGCAGAATTTGTCAACTTATATATATTGTATATATAGTTGTATACGCTTGTTAGGTGTTCTACAATTCTGGTTCCTACTGTAGAAGGTACAACACCCTTCTTGTATCTCTCTCTCTTGTCTAGTCCAATTATCTTTTCTCTCGTCACTTTTCCTACCTACCTTTAACCTCTTGCCAGTCTCAAGCCTAGCTAGCTAAACCTACTTCTAACATAATTCACGCTGCAGTTCTCCGCTTTCTGCGGGCTGGTTCTGGTGCTTTCCCGCGCGGGCAACTTGACCGGTTCAGCAAATCGCCGTGGCGACAAACCATTGGTGGCGACAAATCTTTGTTTCGACGAATTTACTTTTGCACCACAAACGATTCGCAAGCGCGTGGTGCATTTCTTGACGCAAGGCAATCAATACAGGGAACACCGCATCTAACGCGAGGTTAGTCTGTCGCGAGGCTGTAGGAATTCTCCCCTAGGGAAAATGTCGAGGGATACAAAACTAGGGCTGTACTTGCTAAGAACTAAACTAGCTAGGCTATAAACAAATAGGACCTAGCTAATCTATATATAAATATATTTGTTGACACACCCCCTAGCCTAGATAGTGGCAGTTCATAACAAGGCAGAGTACACCAGGGAAGCAATACTAGTCTGACCTCTGGTGAAGGCAACAAGACAACTCAGGGCAGCACTACTAGTCTGACCATTAAGACAAGAGGCCACAAGGCCAGTCATCAAGTGTAGCAAGGCAAGCAGATATAGAACAACAAGTACAAGCAGGTATAGTATGACTCAGGATACAAGGAGTGGTGCTGCTACGAAGACGAGACCAAGCTGAGTACGGAACCGCTGATGGTCACGAGGCACAAGTACCTTGGTAAAGATATCAGCGGTGTTGGCCTCTGAGGCCAACTGTACCACTCAAGCATGTCCGCGCTGCTGCAACTCACGCAGCAAAATGTACCGCAGCTGGATGTCCTTCACTCTTCCCTCAAGTCGAGCCTCCTAGCACAGGAGGATCATGGCCCTGTTGTCAGCAAATAGGACTGGGGCAGACGCAGGCTGCTCACCTAGGTCTGTGAGCAAGAACGTCAGCCAGCGGAGCTCCTGAGCGGCCATGGCCCCAGCGTAGATCTTTGCCTCACAACTGGACTGAGCTAGAGACGACGACCTAGTGGAACTCCACGAGACTGCACCAGCACCAAGACTAAAACAGTAGCCCTGAGACGATCTGAGTATCTCCACGTTGTCAGCCCACGACACGTCTATGTGTCCAGTGAGCACCACTGGCACCCGTCCTCCTAGCACAAGCCCCTTTCCTGATGTACGCGCCAGATACCGCAGTACCCTCTTGGCAGCCGACCAGTGGACTTGTCGGTGCCTGATTGTCGCAACAAAGCGAGCAAGGAGAATGAGGGGGTACACTAGATCTGGTCGATTGCGGGTCATCAGGTACATGAGCCACCCCACCAGCTCTGCATTTAGACCACTAGCCTCGACCGGCTCAACCGGAACAAGAGCTGAGAGCTTGTGATCCATAGGCAAAGGGGTGAGCTATGCTGAGGAGAACTGGAGACTGAACCCCTGGATGATCTGCTGCACCATATGGGACTGGGAGAGTGTGATCGTGCGAGCGGCACGATCACGAGAGACCTCCAAGCCCAGATAGCGCCTCAGCTCCCCCAAGTCTGCACAGGTGTGTCTCCTAAGGAACAGGGCCTTCACTAAGGCCCGTGCGACTCTGTCAGGAGTAGCAAAGATCAGATTGTCTACGTACACTAGGATGTAGAACGATTTCTGGCCTGTGCGAACAGCAGGGGTCAGCAGAGGACGGAAACAACTGTAGCTCAGCAAGAGTCGTGCGAAGTGTGGCATGCCACTCACACGGTGCTTGACAAAGGTTGTACACAGGACAACGCAAGCTCCACTCGGTCCCAGGTGGGAAGGACCCTGAGAAGCTTAGAGGGCGCCAAAGGTAGAACTGCTTGTGCAGACTACCCTGCAAGAACGCTATAGAGAAGTCGAGTGAGTGAAGCTCGAAGTCACGCTACATGGCTATGTGAAGTATGACCCAAAATATAGTCATCTTCGGGGTCAGGGAGAAGGTTTGGAAGAAGTCCACACCCTCACGCTTTTTGAATTCTCCAGCCACGTAACACGCCTTGAACTTCGGCGGCTCTCCAGGTGCGCACTTCACCCTGTAGATCGACATTCCATCGACTACGTTTGCCCCAGGCAGGGGAACTACGTCGACGTAAGTGCTTGTGGATCTGTAGGATGCCATCTTAGCCTCCATGGCCTGTATCCACTAGGCTGCCCAGGGCCCCGACACCGCCTCAGCGTAAGAGCGCGAAAGAGGGATGTCGAGAGCATCTGGGTCGCCCTCTCACCCCCGACAGGGATACAAACATGTAGCAGAGATGGGGAACAGCGGCAGCAAGGTAGGCCAACTCGTACTTCCTGTGCTCTAGAACGTCACTGCCAAGGGCAAGTGCACCCCCGATGGACGGAGGACGGGCAGTACCAGAGACCAGAGCGGCAGCGTCGTCAAGGCGGTGGCTAGTAGCAAAGTCAGCGAATGCAATGACAAGCGCAGAGACAGACTCAGGAGGAGCAGTAGGGTCAGCGACAAGCAACACAAGCAGGCGCGAGAGGACTGGACGAGCAGTACAAGCAGCGTCGGAGCGAGGAGGGGGGCACGACGGGAGCGACGACGGGGGAGGCAACGGGAGGTCTGTGACAGGAGGAGCATGCAAACGAAGGACCATAGGGTGGACACTAGGACGGGGAGAGACAGGACGAGCACCAGAGGGGCGACGGACCCAGTGGGGAAGAATTGGGGACTGAAGACGAGGGGGAACGAGGGACAAGTCAAGGGACAGAGGGGAACACGGGGGGAAACGAGCCAGAGAGGAGTTTGAAGGAGGAAACAACGGTCGTAAACAGGGTCACGCACCGGAACGGGGACAGGGGAACCTGGAGCAAGACCAAGGAGACGAAGGGTAGACTGCGGATGCTCCTGCTGCGGTGGCTGCGCCTGCTGTTGCGGTTGCTACTGCAGCTACAACTGCTCCTTGTCCTCTCCAAGACCTTTAGCAGCACCGCGGGTGCCACCGCCACTCCCCGAAAAAGCACCCCCAAGACTAGCACCCTCGGACGCACCACCCATAGAACTAGCACCCCTGGAGTCAGTACTCTCCGAACTCGCACTCCCAGAACCAGCACCCCCAGAACTCGCACCCCCAGAACCAACACCCCCAACTCCAACTCCTCCAACACCAGCACCCCCAGAACCAGTACCCCCAGAGCACATTGCTCCCTGCTGCTGCTGCTGCGGCCGTTGAGTCTGTTGTGGCGGCTGCTGCTGTTGCTGAGGCAAAAGGGGAGTCGGCTGAGGTGACTGGGGTACCGAGGGTGGGGGAGGCACCTTAGGGACAGTAGGCGCATCCCCAGCAGCTGGGCCCCCAGCATCAGCCGACTCTCCCACAGGCGCAACCGAGGGGAACTGAGTGGCGTGGGAGACACCAGACCGGGCCGGGCAGGGCGGGAGGGGTGCGGCAGGTGGGGCAGGGACAAGGAAGAGAGGAGGAGGAGGCACAAGAGCACTGCGGTGCAGGAAACGCCAGTAGTAGGGGAGCGTCTTGTCGAAGGTAACGTCACGAGCGCGGTAAAAACGGTGGTGTGACGGGTGGTAGAACAGACAATCAGAGGCGTCAAGCAGAAACCCCAGGAAGACACAAGGAAGGGTGTGGGCTGAGAGCTTGTCTGCGCGAGTGTCACGGACATGAGCGATGCTGCCCCAGACGTGGAACGCAGACGCGTCACCAGGAGACCCGGTCCTGAGGAGGGTCGGCGAAACCTGTGGCTGCTGGGAGCGTGGCCACAGGTTAAGATGGTGAGCAGCGTAGCGCACGACGAACGGCCACAGAAAATGGGGTGCACCGGCGTGGACCATGGAGGTGCGGGCTACCTCCATGATCAGGCCGATGCGTCGCTCAGCGACCCTATTATACTGTGGGGAGTCTGGTAGTGTGTACGTCTGGCAGATGCCCTCCGCATGAGAGAACTGTCCTAGAGTGCCAGAGGCGAACTCGCCACGATGGTCAGAGTGTAAGCGACCTATGGGCAGGCAGTGGTGGGTGCAAACAGCAAGAAGTAACGGGAGGAGAACAGTAGGCACATTGGCCTTCCGCTCCAACGGGAACACTGCGGTGAAGCGCGAGAAGTCGTCAACGACGAATTGGAAGTCGCCCTCCCGACTAAGACCATGGACCGTGGCAGGGCCCCAGACGTCCATGTACAGTGTCTGTAGCGGTGCTGTGGTAGGAGGAAACGAGGAGGAGTGAGGGGCGGTGCGCTACCAGCCCTCGACGCAGGAGGTGCACAGTGGTGCTACCGACAGAGGCAGGGCGGGGAGCGACGCAGGGAAACCAGTGAATAGACCGTGCTGGGACATGTGCCTAAGACGAGCGACTACGGGGTGACCTAAGCGGTGGTGCCACAGAAGGGCCGGGTGGGCTAGTGAGTGACGGGAGCAGAACGAGGCGACCTTGGCAGACGCACCGGCCGGCAAGGACTCAGTGTGCAGTGTAAAGAGACCTGACCCTGGGTCATACTCAAAAGTGGCTAAGTGTTGACCGGTGGCTGTGTCTGTGCAAGCGGCGTGTCTCTCGCGGACAGGGGACGTAGTGGTGACGCCTCGGTCCTGGAGGTGACCGACACCCACTAGGTTATTGGCAAACGAGGTGATATGCAGACCGGTGAGGGAGCTGGAAGGGAAAGTTGGACAGGGAAGAGTGGTGGTGCTACGTGCAACAGTTGTGGCAGAGGAGTCTACTAGTGCGACGCGGACAGGCGCAGGAAGCGGGGTGAGAGCAGTACTGCCTCGAAAAAACCACCAAGACGCGCTAGAGTCTAGGAAAAAGGAGAGGGCTGACATGGCGAGACCCAGTGAAGAGTCTCTAACAGGTCCTATGCCTGACGCAGCATGGGATCATAGACTACACACAACAGTAGCTCCAAGGCTACCAACAGCCGGATAATAAGAACCAGCAACAATAGAAGCATTAGAATACAAAGAATACAATGCATGATCAATCTGAATCATATCCATATCAAAGATAGGAACCCCACGACGAAGAAAGACAGGCCAGGGGGGTACCTGCACCAGCGGGCCAAACTGACGACGGTAGAGGTCGTCCAAGCGGCGAAAGCAGCGAGCGGCGGTGTGCCCACACGCCCGCACACCTATCCCGCCTGTGGGCCAATCAGCAGTTGGTGTGTGCAGGTCACCACTCAACCAGAACCACCAGCACCCTAATTCACAGAAAATCTACGCGTTCCCCAGGGCACCGACTGCCCTGGGCCCCAACCCCTACGGCCTCCACCACGACCACCACCCCCAGGGCCCGCCGGCCCCCACGACAGCTGCGGCTGCTGCTGTGCAGTCCCCGAATCTGACAGACCACCCTCTCCGTCTGCACCCGCACCCCCTCCACCTGCTGCTGCTGACCCTTCACGACCCTTGCCCCCCTTGCCCTTGCCCTTGCCGCCAGAGGAGCGGCCGGGGGCAGAGGTAGCCGCTGCAGTCTCGGCTACAGAGATGGAGGCAAGGACTGTCACTTGGGAGGGAGAGCTGCCCTGAAAGATAGAGACTGCTGGCACGCCAGTGGAACCAGCGATGGCGTGGAGGCGGTCCTCTACCTCAGTCAGGGAGGTGGAGAAGAGGTCAAGGGTGAGCTCAGAAGGGTGACGAGCGAGGAGCGCGTCACGGGCAGGGGCTAGATGGTCAGGGAGGCGGGTGACAAGGAAATAGATAATGGCGAAGAGGGGGGGCGGGGCGAGCACTAGTTGGGCCTCAGAAAAGGCCGCATGCCAGCGGGCCTGGAGGGAGCACAGATGCTCGACTAGGTCTTCTACAGTGGTGAATGATGTCAGGTCAGGGTGGAAGAAAGGGAGGAGGAGACGACCAAGAGTGGCAGACGACGGGGTGGAGTACCTAGCAAGGGTAGCCAGCCAGAGGGCGTGGGCTGACGCAGCACCCACAAAGTGGGAGTGCTTGTCAACCGGCAGGCACCTGAGGATGGCAACGCGAGCAGTGGCATCGCTGGACGCCCACACAGAGTAGCTGTACGAGCAGCAGCATGCACTGCCTGCTGTGCAGACGTCGCGTCAGCAGCAAGAGCGCCCGAGCGGGGGACAGCAGGGAGCTCACCAGAGACGTGGGCGCCTAGGGACTCGTCGTCGATGCTCTGACTCGTGAGCTGAAACAGAACTGCCTCCTGCCAGGCGGCGAAACCGGCCCGCCCCTCCCCATCCAGGCACAGAACGAAGACGCCGGGCGAAGCCATGCTGGCGGCTGTGGTGGCAGCTGCGGCCGTGAAGCAAAAGCAGCTGCAGTGGTGGCTGCAGCGGGAGAGAGACGGCGGCAACGGCGGCCGCAGTGGCAGAGGCAGCGCGGCAGCTGCAAGGGCAGCGGTGGCAGAGGCGGCTGTAAGGGCAGCGACGGCTGCAGCAGCTGCAAGGGCAGCGGCGACAACGGCAGCTGCAAGGGCAGCGGCGGCAAAGGCAGCTGCAAGGGCAGCAGTGGCAGCGGCGGCTGCAAGGGCAGCGGCGGAAGCAGCAGCTGCAAGGGCAGCGGAGGCAGTAGCGGCTGCAAGGGCAGCAGCGGCAGCGGCGGTTGCAAGGGCAGCGGCGGAAGCGGCATTGCAAGGGCAGCAGCGGCAGCGGCGGCAGCGGCAGCAGCGGCAGCTGCAAGGGCAGCGGCGGAAGCGGCGCTGCAAGGGCAGCAGCTGCAGCGGCAGCTGCAAGGGCAGGAGCGGCAGCAGCGGCTGCAAGGGCAGCGGCGGCAGCTGCAGCTGCAATGGCAGCGGCGGCAGTGGCGGCTGCAAGGGCAGCAGCTGCAGTGGCAGTGGCGGCAGAGGTAGTGGCTGCAGTGGCAGAGGCGGTTGCTGCAGCGGCAGTGGCGGCAGAGGCAGTGGCTGCAGTGGCACAGGCGGCTGCGGCAGCGGCAGTGGTGGCAGAGGCAGTGGCTGCAGTGGCAGAGGCAGTTGCTGCAGCGGTAGTGGCGGCAGAGGCAATGGCTGCAGTGGCAGAGGCGGCTGCAGCAGCGGCAGTGGCTGCAGCGATTGCGGCAGTGGCAGTGGCTGCAGCGGCAGCTGCAGCAGTAGCGGTGGCAGTGGCACAGGCAGCAGCGGCAGCAGCAGTGGCTGCAGTGGCGGCGGCTGTCTGTGGCTGCAGTGGCAGTGGCTGGCGCAGCAGCGAGCTGGCCAGTGACGAGCTGGCAGGCGCTGCTGGCTAGTAGCTGGCAACAGGTGCTGGCGGTGAGCTGGTGGACGCTGCTGGCGGCTAGCTGGCTGGTGCGGCTAGCGGCGAGCTGGCTAGCACTGCTGACGATGTGCTAGCTAACGCACTGGTTAGCTAGCTGGCTAACGTGCTGGCTAGCTGGCTGGCGCGCTAGCTAGCGTGCTGGCTGGCGTGCTAGCTGGTGTGCTAGCTAGCGTGCTGGCTAGCGTGCTGGCGGGCGTGCTGCCTAGCGTGCCGGCCGGTGCGTTGGCTGGCGCGTCGGCTAGCATGCTGCTGGCGAGCGTGCTAGTGAGCTTGCTGGCTAGTGGGCTGGCTGGCTCGCAGGCCTGCTGGCTGCCGAACGAAACAACGCAAATGCTAGGGGGGAGTGCGTGAAATTGGAGGGTAAGAGGTGCGCGAAATTGAGAGGTCCAAACGAGTGGGGGAAAGAAGAAGAAGAAGAAGAAGAAGAAGAAGAAGAAGAAGAAGAAGAAGAAGAAGAAGAAGAAGAAGAAGAAGAAGAAGAAGAAGAAGAAGAAGAAGAAGAAGAAGAAGAAGAAGAAGAAGAAGAAGAAGAAGAAGAAGAAGAAGAAGAAGAAGAAGAAGAAGAAGAAGAAGAAGAAGAAGAAGAAGAAGAAGAAGAAGAAGAAGAAGAAGAAGAAGAAGAAGAAGAAGAAGAAGAAGAAGAAGAAGAAGAAGAAGAAGAAGAAGAAGAAGAAGAAGAAGAAGAAGAAGAAGAAGAAGAAGAAGAAGAAGAAGAAGAAGAAGAAGAAGAAGAAGAAGAAGAAGAAGAAGAAGAAAGAAGAAGAAGAAGAAGAAGAAGAAGAAGAAGAAGAAGAAGAAGAAGAAGAAGAAGAAGAAGAAGAAGAAGAAGAAGAAGAAGAAGAAGAAGAAGAAAAAGAAGAAAAAAAAAAAAAAAAAAAAAAAAAAAAAAAAAAAAAAAAAAAGAAGAAGAAGAAGAAGAAGAAGATACTGTAACGGTTGAAGCCTGAGTAACGGCGGAAAAAAACTAACCTAGCTCTATACCATGTTAGAGTAGCAGGAAAAGTGTGACTAAGGGAAAATGTCGAGGGATACAAAACTAGGGCTGTACTCGCTAAGAACTAAACTAGCTAGGCTAAAACAATTATGACCTAGCTAATCTATATATAAATATATTTGTTGACAGAAATGCCAATCGTCAGTAGGAAAGGGCTGCCATGTTTTGCTGCTCTACCAACTTATTTGAAGCAAGAAGAACGGGAGGAAGCAAGCACCATTGACTTGACACCAGGATTCCTGCTAAGCTTTTGGGTTGTCTGAGAATCAGACGAGGTTTCAAATTTTCGTCTGACCATCAGACGAGCTACTTGGTTGGGTTGGTCTGAATTTTGAGACAAATTGTCGAGCATCATCAGAGCTTCAAAACGAAAAAAAAAAAAAAAAAAAAAAAAACAACAACAACAACAACAACCTTCACAATGAACTATTGTACTGGGGTGATGACGCGGCATATGGCATATCCGTGGGCGGTAGGTTTGAGGCCCAATAAGTCGATGACACGCATGGTCGAGTGGCCACATGGGCATGTGTACTACACCAAATTTGCAAAACAGGGGGGATTGGAACCAGGTTACGAGGTGGGGGCCCTGTACCGCCCACCAGAGTGGGAGATCATGATCGCGGTTGCCCCTTTGCCAAAAACATTCTCGCCAGTTCGGTGCGATTTTGATTGGCTGAGAAGAAGAATGACTACCTGCGCTTGTGCCAATGCTTCGAGACCAATGAGACTCATTTTCTACGAAAATATTTTTGCACCCAATTTGTCTTCCAACTGAAATTGTGAGTGCGATCAGAGGCAAGTCTGAGCCTCGTAGGAGCACATCTCAAGGTAGCGAGTTGACTAGAACAGGGCATACAGGGTAGTTTTGTTCCAAGTATTATACTCTCTAAGGTATGCTCCTAGCTAGCCTATAAACATATACAAATATATTTGTTGACACACCCCCTAGGCTAGACAAGGGGCAGTGCCTGGAAAGAGACACAAAGCTCAGGGTGGCACTACAAGTCCAGCCTCTGAGGCAAGGGTCCGAAGACCGGTCAGCAAGGGTACAAACAAGACAAGAGCAAACCAGGGCGGCACTACTAGTCCGGCCACTGGAAGAGAAGCGACAAGGCCAAGTCAGGAGAATATATATAAAAGAGTAGTACACAAGCAAGGTCCTAGCAAGTGAGAAGCTACCGGAATGAGACCAAACTGTACACAGTGCCGCTGATGATCTTTAGAGGCAAGCGCCTTCGTAAAGATATCAGCTGTGTTGGCACCGGAGGCCAAGTGTACTACGCGGGCCTGGCGGCGCTGCTGTAGCTCTCGCAGGAGGAAGTACCGCAGCTGGATGTGCTTCGCTTTGCCCCTCGAGTTGAGGCTCCTGACACAAGGGGATCATGGCCCTGTTGTCAGCGTACAGGACGGGGACAGAGCTAGGCCGCTCACCTAAGTCTGTGAGCAAGAATGTCATCCAGCGGAGCTCTTGTTCCGCCATGGCACCAGCATAGATCTCAGCCTCACAGGTAGACAGTGCAACAGATGACGAGCGGGTGGACCTCCACGAGATGGTGCCTGCACCAAGGCTAAAGCATTAGCCCTGGGAGGACCTGAGCGTCTCAGCAGCGTATGCCCACGAAGCAATTGTATGCCCAGTAAGGACCACTGGCTTGCATCCTCCTAGCACTAGCCCCATGCCCGATGTACTTGCTAGATAACGCAAAACCCTCTTAGCGGCCGACCAAAGCTGTGGTCGGTGTCTGCCTGTCGCCACAAAGCAAGCTACGATGCTGAGAGGGTATGCAAGATATGGATGCGTGCAAGTCATCAGGTACATGAGGCAACCCACCAGCTCTCCATATGGACCACTAGGGTCTACTGACTCGTTAGGGACTGGATCCGAGAGCCTGTGGTCTACTGGCAGGAGTGTGGGCTGTGCGGAGGAGAACTGAAGACCGAACCTCTGAAGGACCTGGCGCACCAAGTGTGGCTGTGTGAGAGTGATGGTGCACGCTGCTCTGTCCCAGGAGATCTGCAGGCCAAGGTAGCGGCACAGCTCTCCTAGGTCAGTGCAGGTGTTTCTCCTCAGCAGCTCGGCCTTCACGGAGGACAGTGAGTCTCTATCTGCAGTAACAAAGACCAGGTCATCTACGTAGACAAGGATGTAGAACGGAGTCTTGCCTTAGCGATGAAGAGCGAAGGGTCTGCAGAGGACGGGAATAATTGCAGGTCAGCTAACGTGGCACACAGCGTGTCGTGCCACATTTGGGGCGCCTTTCGCAGGCCATAAACCAGGCACCGGAGGAGCCACTGGGTCCCCGGGGCGAAGGTGCCGGTGAAGCCTGGCGGGCAGTGCAGGTAGACCTGCTTGTGCAGACTGCCCCAAAGAAACGCTCTCGAGAAGTCGAGAGGGTGCAGCTCATAGTCACGCTGTGCTGCTACCCGTAGCAGCGCTCGAAGAGTAGTCATCTTCGGGGTTGGGGCAAAGGTTATGAAGAATTCAACACCCTCACGTTGACTGAAGCCTCTCGCAATGTAGCGAGCATTGAATACCGGCAGCTCTCCACGCGGGCGCTTCACCTTGAAGAGCCACCGTCCATCGACTACGTTCACCCCTGGTGGGGGAACTGCGTCGACGTAGGTGCCAGTGGATCTCCAAGATGCCATCTCTGCGTCCATGGCAGCTATCCACTGGGAGGTCCAGAGTCCCGAGGTCGCCTCAGCGTAAGTGCAAGGGGTCGGAATGTCGCAGGCGTCTGGGTCACCCTCAGGGACTAGCAACATGGAGCAGAGATGAGGCGCGGTCTGACTTTTCAAATAGTCACCGCTCTGGTCTCTGACCCTGGTGAGGGCGTCCCCTCAGGTGCCTGCGTGTACCCAGGTCGCTGCGGCTTGCTCGTGTTGGTCGCTCACTCACCCGTCACCGCCTAGGTCACCCCGCACTCCCGCGTCACCGCTTGTGTCTCCTTCTGTGGCAGCACCGCCTAGGTTACCCCGCACTTCCGCGTCTGTGTGACATGTCTCAGTACAGTCTTGTCCTAGGTCTCCCTTCGTCACTCCCTGCCATCCCTCCCTCGTCTGCATCGCCATGCACGCCCTGCATCAAGGGCCGGCTGCATAGTGCTCCTCACTTCTCCTCGCTTTGCCCTGCCACCACACCATTCCAGACCCTGAACCTGGACGTCTAGGGCCCCAGACGTCCCTGGGCTGCGTCAAGAGCGCAACTTTCTAGTGCTTGTCGACGACTACACGCACTATACTGCGGTGTTTCCCCTGGAGCGGAAAGTTGACGTGCCTGACGTTCATATCATGTGGGTCATAGCTGCGCACGTCCACCGCGGTCTCCCCATGCTGTGTCTGCACTCCGACCGTGGCGGCGAGTTTGCCTCCGGTCGGCTTGGACAATTCTGTCATGCGGACGGCATCACCCACTCGTACACCCTACTGGACTCCCCGCAAAAGAATGAGGTCGCTGAGCGACGCATCGGTTTGGTCATGGAGGTGGCTCGTACCTCCATGATCCATGTTGGTGCACCCCATTTTTTGTGGCCGTTCGACGTTTGCTACGCCGCTCACCAGCTTAACCTCTGGCCGCGCTCCCAGCGGCCGCAGGTTTCGCCAACCCTTCTTTGGACCGGGTTCCCTAGTGACGCATCTGCGCTCCACGTCTGGGGCTGCCTCGCCCACGTTCGTGCCTCTGGCACGGACAAGCTCACTGCCCGCACTGTCCCCTGTGTCTTCCTCGGTTTCCCCCTTGAGTCGTCTGACTGGCACTTTTACCACCCGCCGTGGTGACGCTACCTTCAACGAGTCTGTCTCCTTTTACCACCGCTTTCCCCGCAGAGGTCTCCCAGTTTCCTGGGTAGCCTATGCTCATCTCCCTCCACATCTTGCTCCGTCTGGTGTGTCTCACGTCACTCCCCTCTCATCGGTTGTCCCGGTCAAGGAGTCGGTTGACTGTGGTGGCCCCGCGACGCAGTTCTCGCCCCCTGTTTCTCCCCCGGTGTCTCCTCCTCCGCCGTCGCAGCAGCCATAGCCGCAGCCGTCGTCGCAGCCGCAGCAGCAGCAGCCATGCGTGGGCTCTGGGGGTGCAGGCGTTGAGGATGGTTCCTGTAGTGGCTCGTCCTGGTGGTCTTGGGGGTGGCACCAATGCTGGAGAGGGTTCTCGTTCTGGGGGTGCTTGTTCTGGGGGTGCTAGTCCTGGGGTTACTGTCGTGTCTTAACCTAGTGGTCTCGGGGGTGGCACCGTTGCTGGAGAGGGTTCTCGTTCTGGGGGTGCTGGAGTGGAGCGTTCCGGAGGTAGCCGTGGTGTAGCTGCAGGTTCAGGTGTCGTCGTGCAGCAGCAGCAAAAGACGTCGCCACTGTCCGCCCTTAGTCTGCTCAGCCTTCCCACCCCTGACTACCCGCCTACGCCTTCCTCGCCGCTGCCTACCCTGCATGTCTGCGGCCCTGTGTTTCCTCCGCCGGACTCGTCTCCGGCTCGTTTCCCCCCTCATTCTCCTCCTGTGACTCATCCTTTGTCTCGTGACCCGACGCCTCCCTCCCACTTCTGGTCTCGTCGTCCCTCTCGTGCTCGTCCTGTCTCTTCTGTCCAGCACTCTCACCCGATGTTGCTTCGTTCCCACGCGTCTCGTCCTCCCCTCCTCCCCTCTCCTCCTTCGTCATTGCTGGTTGTCGCTCCTCCTCCTCTGTCTGACTACCTTCGTGCCGCTAATCCTCTTGTTCCTCGGGTCCTTGCCTCCCTCGTTAGCGACCCGTCTGTTCCTGTCTCGAGCCTTGACGCTCTTGTCGCTGCTGTTGCTGACTTCGCCTCTACCCGCCGCCTTGACTATGTCACCGCTCTGGTCTCTGACCCACTCCAACCTCTGTCTGTCGGGGTGCTCCTGCCCTTGGTAGTGACGTCCAAGAGGATCGGCTGTACGAGCGAGCTTTCCTGTTCGAGGCCGCGCCTCATCTCTGCTCCATGCTGCTAGTCCCTGAGGGAGACCTAGACGCCTTCGACATTCCGACCCCTCGCACCTATGCTGAGGCGACCTCGGGACCCTAGGCCTCTCAGTGGATAGCTGCCATGGACGCCGAGATGGCATCTTGGAGATCCACTGGCACCTACGCCGACGCGGTTCCCCCTCCTGGAGGTGAACGTAGTCGATAGCCGGTGGCTCTTCAAGGTGAAGCGTCCTCCTGGAGAGTCGCCTGTGTTCAAGGCACGCTACGTGGCCAGAGGCTTCAATCCGCACGAGGGTGAGGACTTCTTCCAGACTTTTGCCCCGACCCCGAAGATGACTACTATTCAGGCATTGCTATATGCAACAATACAGCGTGACTACAAGCTGCACTCTCTCGACTTGTTGACAGCGTTTCTTCAGAGCAGTTTGCACGAGCAAGTCTACCTGCGCCGTCCGCCAGGCTTTACTGGCAGCTTCGTTCCGGGGACCCAGTGGCTCCTCCGGAGCCCCGTTTACGGCCTGCAGCAGGCACCGCGCGAGTGGCACGACACGCTACGTGCTACGTTAGCTGACCTGGAGTTCTTCCCATCGTCTACAGACCCTTCACTTTTCGTACGTATTGGTCAAACCCCGTTCTACATCCTAGTCTACGTAGACGACCTGGTCTTTGCTACTGCAGACAGAGACGTACTGGCCTACGTAAAGGCAGGGCTGCTGATGAGACACACCTGCACTGACCTAGGAGAGCAGTGCAGCTACCTTAGCCTGCAGATCTCTAGGGACAGAGCAGCGCACACCATCACTCTCACACAGTCACACTTGGTGCGCCAGGTCCTTTAGAGGTTCGGCCTTTAGCTCTCCTCCGCACAGCCCACACCTGTGCCTGTAGATGGCAGGCTCTCGGCTCCAGTCCCTGAGGATTCTGTAGAGACTAGTGGTTCTTACGCAGAGCTGGTAGGTTGCCTCATGTACCTGATGACTTGCACTCGTCCAGATCTTGCATACCCTGTCCTGGCTCGCTTTGTGGCGTCCGGCAGACACCGGCCACAGCAATGGTCGGCCGCTAAGAGGGTTTTGCGTTATCTAGCAAGTACATCGAGCATGGGGCTAGTGCTAGGAGGACGCATGCCAGTGGTCCTTACAGGGCACACAGTCGCTTCGTGGGCGGACGACGCTGAGACGCTCAGGTCCTCCCAGGGCTACTGTTTTAGCCTTGGTGCAGGCGCCATCTCGTGGAGGTCCACCCGCTCGTCGTCTGTTGCCCAGTCGAGCTGTGAGACCGAGATCTACGCTGGTGCCATGGCGGCTCACGAGTTCCGCTGGCTGACTTAGGTGAGCGGCCTAGCTCTGCCCTAGTCCTGTAAGCTGACAACAGGGCCATGATCCTCCTGTGTCATGAGCCTCGACTTGAGGGCAGGGCAAAGCACATCCAGCTGCGGTACAACCTCCTACGCGAGCTACAGCAGCGCCGCCAGGCCCGCGTAGTACACTTGGCCTCAGGTGCCAACACAGCTAATATCTTTACGAAGGCACTTGCGCGTAAATATCATCAGCGGCACTGTGTACAGCTTGGTCTAGTTCTTGTAGCTCCCCAGTTGCTAGGATCGTGACATGAGTACTTCTCCTTATATTATCTTGACTGGCCTTGTGGCTCTTGTTCCAATGGCTGGCCTAGTAGTGCCGCCCTGGGTTACACTTGTTTAGTTGGTACTCTTGCTGACTGGTCTTCGGACCCTTGCCTCAGAGGTTGGACTAGTAGTGCCACCGTTAGTTGTGTGTCACTTGCTAGTCGCTGCCCCTTGTCTAGCCTAGGGTGTCGAGTGACCCGCTGGGGTTACCCTTGCGGAAATCCTCGGGGAAGGGCCACAGGCGCAAAGCCTGGGGGGCTATGGGCGCACTGACCCGCTATGAACAAGCCCTTTTAACTCAGTGGTTAGTGTCTGAGTTTCTGACATAGGGGGTGTGTCAACATATAATTTGTATATGTTATAGGCTAGCTAGGTGCATGCTCATATAGAGTACAACCCCTTCGGTTATATCCCCTTGTACCTCCTCATTCTAATCAATACTTTCTAGGCTAAGAGGTCGTTCAGATGAAAATTTATTGGCTGTCAAGAAGTCAGATGACACGTGGAAAGTGAGTCTGATTCTCAGATGAACAAACGGATTTCGTCTGCTAACGGGAACCCTGCTTGACACCATTAGGGGCCAGATCAGGAATCAGAAATACTTGTTCTGTTGCCAGAGCAGATTGCATGGGCCGGCTGGCAGGTGGGCATCGTAGTCCCTTGCGCAAGCAACACTCGTGTTCAGAGAGCCACCATACCTAACTAGCCTTTGCTAGAGAGTGAGCAACACGCAAGCAGGGCAACACACCACAGCCACGACGAAGCCTCCAATAATCAGATCCGGTCTGAATGGGAGCTCTGCAGCACGGCATCTCGGTTTCATCCACTGCTGGCAGCGCTATGCATGACACGGCATGACACGGCATGCACACCATGTGCGAGCCCGGCGCACAGGGGGCCAACCGGTGTGCCATCCGCCCCTACTGTCTCCATCCCATCCTACGCCCCATCCCATGCTGCTTGCCATGCTGGTCACCACACCATGCCTTGCCACTCCCACCAAGGTGACACTACCAAGAGGACCAAAGGCACCAATGGTATGTGAGACTCTGGTTCGTGACACTATAGTAAGTCACGTGACACTATGGAACGTGACTGCTCATCCGCTGGTCCGTCTCCGAAACACTATGTACTCTGCTCCGATCCCCTCCTTCACCTCTTGATACGCTGGGGGGGACTGCGCCCCGTAAAACGCCGCAACGAGGGGGCGTGCAGCAGCAGCGGGCGAGGATTGGGAGGCATCGGCAGGGAGGGTGAGCGCGAGGATCTCGGGGCGCGAGTCGAAGGCGACGAGGCGGGGCCCTGCGAGGAGCCACATGGAGTCGTGCGGCGCGTGCAGGTTGAGCAGCACGCGCGCATTGCCCTCCATGTTGATGCGCACCACGTCGAAGCGCCGCAGCCCCAGGAATTGGAGGAGGAACGAGCCCGATAGCCCGGTGACTGCTGCTGATGAGGATGCGTTGAGGAGAGAGCCCGCCTGGGAGGGTTTGAAGGGGGGGTTGGGGGGTGGGAGGTTGGGGAAGGGGGGGAGAGTGGTGGAGAGGGATGGAGATGGGTGGATTTGGAACGAGGAAGCAGCCACATGGAGTCGTGCGGCACGTGCAGGTTGCCCTCCATGTTGATGCGCACCACGTCGAAGCGCCGCAGCCCAAGGAATTGGAGGAGGAACGTACGAGCCGGAGAGGCCCGTCACTGCTGCTGACGAGGACGTGTTGAGGAGCGAACCCGCCTGGGGGCAGGGGGGGGGTTGGTGAGGGGGTTGGGAATGAGAGAGGGGGGAAGGGAGAGAGATGGGTGGAGAGGAGAGGGGAGTTGGATTGGGAGGAAGGACCCAGGGAGGCCCGTGACTGGTCCTGACGAGGATGCATTGAGGAGCGAACCCGCCTGGGGACGCAAGGGGAGGGGTTTTGGGAGGGGAGGAGGGTGGGGAAGGGGCGGAAATGGGTGGAGAGAGGTGGAGATGGAATGGGAGGAAGGAGGCTGCGAAGCTGGTGACTGCTGGTGACGAGGGCGCGTTGAGGAGAGAGGCTAGCTCGGAGCACGGGACGGGAAGCTTTTTGGAGGCAGGGCGGGAGAAGAGGGGTGGAGAGATGACGAGGGGTGAAGATGGGGCAGGAGAAAGAACAGAAGGGAGGAGGGGGTGGCGGGGGAGAGAGGGGGAAGAGGAAGGAGACGAGGATGGGTGGAAGGGTGAAGCGGAAAAGGGAGAGGGAAGAGGGATAAGGAGATGTGTAATGGTAGAAGAAAGAGGGGAGTGGACAGGGAAGGACCAGAAGTCGAGAAAGAGGAATGCGAATAAGCAGACGTCTGGTCCCCCCCTGTGCATGGTGGCCTCTCAAGCCCACCAGCAGCACCCGTCACCTCTTCCCCTAGCATAGAGCACTTACGGCATGCTGCTCCACTTCGATGAATCGCGAGCAGCCCGCTTCCACCCGCAGCACGAGGGACGTCACGTGCGACCACAGCGCCGCCCTCAGCGCAATGGCGTTATCGTAAGGCGCCGTGTTGAGGGAGAGCGCGCGGAAGCCAGACTCGGAGGCTTCTGTGGCCACCAATACTGCTGTTGGGTACCTGGAGAGGGGGGCAGGGATGGTGGTTTGAGATGTCTCAGCATACTCGCTTCCAGAGGGCTGCGAGGAGGCTCGCAGTGGCGTTGTTGAGGGGGGCGGTGTTGAGAGGGAGAGCGTGCGGAAGGCGGATGGTAACGCCTCTGTGGAAACCAGCATGGCTGTTGGGTACCTGAAGAGGGGACAGGGAGGGGTGGTCGTGGTGTGTGGGTGGGAGGGATGAAAGTTAGGGTCTGGATGTGTGGGAATGAGGGTTCGGGCGTGTATCGTGTATCAGGTGGGAGAGAAGAGCAGTCATGTGGAGGACCGCACTAACAGGAGCAGAGACGGAAGGAAGGAGAGAGAAGAGAAGGAAACGAGAGAGGCGAGGGAAACAAAAAGGATTCTGGGGGGCTGGTGGATACATCCTTGGAGGAGGGGCAACGAGGAAAGGAATCCCAGCAGGGCAGGGGGCAGGGGGCAGGGGGCACGCACATGCAGGCGAGGAGGACGGAGAGGATGCCGGCGCCAGCTCCGGCATCGAGCACGGTGCGCACCCCCAGGTCTGGCTGCAGCACCGGCAGGGGGTCCCCGTCGTACAGCCGGTGCAGCGTCGCTAGATCTGCCACGCCACAGCACGCGGCATGCAGGGAAGGTGGGGGGAAAAGAGGAGGGTGGGGAAAGAGGGAGGAGGGTAAGGGATGGAGAGAGGAGAGGTACAGTTTCAGTACCATTAATGCCCCTCTCATGAGCAGTAATGCGCCTCCCAGTCCTTCCCTTCTTCTACCAATCCTCCCAGTGCCAGTGCTTCCCAGTGCCAGTGCTTCCCAGTGCCAGTGCTTCCCAGTGCCAGTGCTTCCCAGTGCCAGTGCCTTCCATTGCCTTCCAATCTCTGCCTCCCTCCCACCCCTCCCAGAGCACCTGACTCTGATCGTCTCAGGTGAAAGGCATGGATGCAGGGCCGGGCTTTAGAGCACTGCAGCACCTCGCGGTACGAGCACGCCATCACACACACCATCGCCTCATCCGCCCCTCCACCCCCACCCTCCACCCCACGCCCTTCTCTCTCCCCCTCCCGCCTCCCCGCCCACTGCTCCTCCTGCTCCTGCCGCTCCCTCAACGTCCTCCCCCTCTGCCCCTCCGCTCTCCCCTGCTCCCCCTCTCCCCCTCCCCTCTCCCCCGTCCCCCTACCCTCCTCCTCCCCCCCGCCCCCTTCCCTCAGCACCTCGTATCTCAGGAACTCCCAGGTCATCCACACGCCCGCGTAGAAGTACCGCGCCTCCCCCGGTCCGCAGCTGTGCGGCCGCGCCAGCGCCTCGCGCACCTCTGCCTCCGCGTACTGGCACACGTGCGCGGGGCCCCTGTGCCCCATGCGCTCCACCCACGCTCGCCGGGGGGGCGTGCTGCGTCGCGTGGGGTGCGAGAAGGTGGACACGAGGGGGTACACCTGGGGGGGGAGGGGAAGGAAGGGAGAAGGGGGCGGGGTCGGAAGGGAGGAAGGGGAGGTGGAGGGGTTTTGGGGCGCCGGCGGGGAGAGGGTTCTGACTTGATTTAAGATGTCAATGGGTGCGATCGTGGAGACGAGGGAAGGAGGGGAGAAGGCGGCATGTGGGCCCACCAGAGAGATTGTGCCTCGCTCCGATCGTCGTTATATGGAGGAGTAGTACTTTCGTTCCGCTCAGAGTTTAGGTGAAAAGAAGCGTAATTAGAGCCTTTGGGCGCGCGATTGGCCACACACACAACCCGTGTCCCCCCACCCCCGAAAAACCCTTACAACTGTCCTGCCTTCGGGCTTTCTCCGGCCTAGGCTAACCTTGACCCAACTCGTTCCTCCGCACACCCTTCACCCCACGCTGACCTGCCCCTTGGCTCTACCTGTTCCGGTGGCCTGCTCATTGACCAGAGCCCAACCAACCAACCAACCAGCTAACGAGCCGTTAACTAGCTAGCCAGTCAGCCTATCCTTTCAACGGGTTCCCCTGGCAATGCGACGCGAGACGTACGGCTGCGATGTGGTCTTCGTACAATGCCGCCACGCGCTGCTGCTCGCGCACGTGCGCCTCGATCATCCGCCGCACCGTGCTGTCCTGGCTGACGTCACGGATCCACGTCACGAAGCTGCACCCCAGGAAGACGGCTACTAACGCGGACGCCACCACCACGCCCACACTGCAGCGCGGCGCGCGCCCGGGATCCCGGGTCATCATGATGCCGCTGGGGTGCTGCGTCGCTCCCAGCGGGAAATCGCCAACAAAACCGGGTCCTTCCGAATCTAATCTGTCGTGACTGACTGGCTGCTTGATGGATGGGTGGATGGATCGACAAATGGATGGATGGACGGATGGATTCGGCGGCTACTCCGCCCTTCGCGGGAGCCGTCCGTCAGAAGCGCAGTGCGTACTGCATCAGGTGGATCCGCGCGTTACATCTAGCGTCTGACTAATGCGGCGAAGTTGATCTGTCATTGGGGCCTGGGATCCGGGATCGTCAGCGTGGGATTACCTGCTGACGTGGCGAACCAGGAAGACTTCCCTAAAAGACGCGGCGGAGCGCGGACATTCAGGGAGTGAATGGCTGGTTACCAATTACCGCATTTGGCGAATTGAATCAAGAGCCTGACAGGTGACTAGGCCTCATTGCTATATTCGCGAAACCTCAGTGGAATGAACGATGCGAGTCATTCCAGAGTAGCTATTGGATGGGCTCCGTCCGTTGGCTCAGCTTGATTGACTCAAGCTCCTAAAGCCAGTCTCTCAGGAGACAGGACAGGACATGTCAGAAGTCTGACAGCAGGGAGGACCACCCGTCGTGGCCAATCTTGACTGAGACTTCCAAGTTCGCTTCCACACAGGTGTTGCCTTGTTCTGTAGATGTCTCCAGTTTCAATCGCCATGTCTAGCGGCCGCTCGATTGCGCTGCTAGGGACACGGGGGAATAAATCCTTCCACTGTGAATCATCGCAGGGGCCTGCGTCGTGTCATCCGCGAGTGTCTTCGGATCTAGGGGCAACCTGGTGTCGTTCGGACGTAACCTGGGGTCTTCCACCCGCAAATGTTGGAAGACGCCCGCGAATGACACGATGCAAGAAATTGTCTCCTTCAGGAGTGTCCAAAGTGGGATGTTGGCGTATGCTGTCAACATCCCCGACATTCGAGATAGTTTCAGTACGTTTAGTAAGTTTCCAAAAGGTTACAAAAGGTCTCTAGATCAGCGCTTGGACTTCGGGGATGTCGATGGATGTCGTCGGATGTCGTTGGGCACTTTGGACACGCTCTTAGCCCAGGTCCCAGATCTGATGAGCTCCTCGCCGCACTTCACGCGTATCAGGGTAATTCAAAATCATGTACCAGTTACCCAGAGCAGACTCCACACTTCATTCGAGCTGCTTCTCCAAGCTGGCGTTCAGTATCAGGAAACAGGATCCCTGCGCAGCCGGTAGGGTCTAATACCAGCAAAGCACAGTTTCTTTCCACTGTTTAACTGAGAGTTGTGAGTGTATAAAGCTCTATCTACGATGTCCGAGACAAACTTGAAGGCGAATTGCCCGTCAGGTGCAGTGTAGTAGCTGCGAAACATTGATGTGGCACTCTGCAGGCTAGCGCAAATTTCGTGACACAATCATCTGCCCGAACACACGGCTTGTAGAAAAAGTAACATCTCGCCTAATTCGCCCAGGTATTCCCCAATCTGACCCGGCCCACATTCCCATAGAACTACTCCCCAGTGGCCCCTCGGTTTTGTTTATTTTTTCGGAGTTACCCCAGGCCTGTCTCCCCTCCCCTCACGTCTGCTAGTGTATCTCCTGCTCCTGGATCCAACCTCCCTCAAGGTTACCTCCAGCCTCGGGAGGATCTGCTCGCTCATGCTTGGGGCAAACACCTCCCACGCTCCATGGAATTTCTCTTCATCCAGGTTCCGCTCCATACCGCACGGCACCCTGCCTTTCATCCTACGAGCTAGCTCTGCCGCAACCCGCATTGGATTCTACGGGCATCAGCGAGCCGCGCGTCCGTGACGCTCGTCGGCATTAACTCGCTCCGTTCGGCGCAGCGCTCCCCGTTCGCCTCCCTTGACGGACGTGCGCTGGATTTCGCCACGAGCCGTTGCGCTGCCTCCCCCTCGGCTCATGGAGGCACCAAGCAGGTTGCTGGCGCCATGACACTCGCATGTCATGGCGTCATCAGTTCGTTCGGGTAGCAGGTCGCGTCCAAATCCACATTTCTCTTTTGCACTGCAGCTTCTGCCGCTGCTTAGGTCGCAACTAGCTATCTCCGGCACGCGCTGCCGACTCGTAGTTGGCTGATGGGACTTTCGGCTCGAATCGGATGTCACATGCACGCCCTCCTGCGTTCCATCCTACTCACATCCGACTTACTATCCGTACCCGATGAGTTCCCCCGTTAATAGCACACACGGACGCGACCTCCGCTGCGTACGGCAATAGCTGTTCCGCAATACGATGTGATAGAAATGAGCGGCGGGAGCGTCGGAAGCCAGGCGCTGCGCCGAATCGGCAGCGGCTCGAGCTTCCCGAGCCATGGCGTCGCGTCGGCCGCATCCTCCGCCGCCGTCGCCGCCTCCTCCTCGATTTCCGGATTCCCTTCCGCTCCCTCTCTTACCCCCCCCTCAATCACCTCCCGCTCCGCCGTCTATTTCCCCCCGCATCGCACGCAACTCCCCCCGCGCTACGCGTACGCGTCCACCGCATCCGCCGCGGCTAACCGGCCGCGCAAAGCCCGCGCGATCCTCTGCTTTCTCCTCCTCGCCGCGACCTTCATCCTTCTCTTCTCCTCCGCCCTCTACGCGCCGTTCGCCCTCTCCCTCTCCTCCTCCCCGTCTTCGTCGTCAGCGTTGTCAGTCTCTAGCGGCCGCGCGTTAGGAACCATTTCGCGGGCCTATTCCATCATAATCGACGCGGGAAGCACCGGGTCGCGCGTCCACGTGTACTCGTACACGCGGCTCGCGGACCCGACCGCGCTTCCGCTGGTCGACCCGCACGCGCCGACTCTTAAGATCCGTCCGGGCCTCTCGTCCTTTGCTGAGGACCCGTCCGCCGCTGGCGGGTCGCTCGTGGGGCTTGTAGACTTTGCGAAAGCCAAGGTAAGGACGTCATTAGTCGGCTCGCGATATATATGGTTATCCATTCCCCGCCTACCTCCCCCCAAACCCCCCACCCCCCCTCCTCCCCGCCCCTTCTCAACCCTTCCCCCCCCCCTGTTTTCCCCCCACACTCCATCTCGCCCCGCTCCACCCTCCGCCACCCCCCGCCCTCTCCCCCGTTCTCCCCCCCCCCCTCTCCCCCCCTCCCCCCCGCGACTCTCCATTGCCCAGGTCCCCCGCGCCCTGTGGGCCACCACGCCCGTGCGCCTGATGGCGACCGCGGGGCTGCGCCGCCTGCCCGCCAGCGGCGCGCGCAGGATACTGCAGTCGTGCGCGGACGTGCTGGGGGCGTCGGGGTTCGCGTTCGACCCCGAAGGTGGCGCCACTGTCATTGCTGGTGGGCGGGGAGGGGGTGGGGAGGAGGGGGGAGAGAGGGGGAGAGAGGGCGGGAGGGGAGAGAGGGGAGAGGGGAGAGGGGAGAGAGGGGGAAAGGGATGGGGCAGGGGGGTGAGAGAAGGGATGCGGGGTTGTGGAGGAGGGATGGGTAAGGGGGGTTTGGATATTGGTCCTGAGGTTGCTACTGATCGGCGTCTTATCCGGGAAATAAGGGCAAGTGGGATAGACTGGAGTGTGAAGGTGGGGTCTGGTGGGGGGTGCTTTTGGTGAAGTTGAAGTACGGCACATCGTGCACGTGCACGTGGAGGGTTGGGCGTCGCGTGGGGTTGGGCGTCGCGTGGGGGTGGGCGTCGCGTGGGGGTGGGAGTCGCGTGGGGTTGGGCGTCGCGTGGGGGTGCTGGACTGGTAGGGTTTGGCCGTGCCATGAAGAGGGGGGCCCCACGGGAGGGGATGGGAAGATGGTGGCGTTTCCTGGGAACGTTCTGTGGCTGGGGGAGCTGGAGGGGTTGGAGGAGTTGGAGGGGTTAGGGGTTGGAGGGGCTGGAGGGGTTAGGGGTTGGAGGGAGTCAGGATGCATTGAACCTGGACAGGAAGGCACGCAGGGCTGGAAAGGAGAAGGCGTTTCAGGGTGGGGTTGGGAGACAGGGTGGTGGGCTTGCAGGCCCCCCTGTCTAACCCCCCTTCACCTGCCCGCCTTTCTCATCCCGTTCCGTCTGGTTCTGAGGCGCCTCAAAACTGCCTGTGTTGTGTTTGACTCCCTTCTGATCGCTTCCCCCCTTTCCCATCCTTCCATTACACTTCCCTCACTTGTATTGTAACACCCCGCACCCTTCCCATGCACTCTCCCACTATCCACCCGCCCACGCCACCCGCATTCCTCCCCGTGCAGGCGTGTGGGAGGGCGTGTACGCGTGGGATAGCGGCCAGCAGCGCCAAGGTTGCTGCCTTACGTCCCCATGCAATCTCCCATATCCTACCAACCACTACCACCTGCACCCCCACCCTTGCAGGCGCGTGGGAGGGACTGTACATGTGGGTGGCGGCCAACTACGCCAAGGGGGAACTCCCTCAACTGTAACACCCCGCACCCCTCCCTCCCATGCACTCTCCCACAACAATCTTCCCACCCCTCCAGGCGTGTGGGAGGGCGTGTACGCGTGGGTTGCGGCCAACTACGCCAAGGGCACGCTGGGGGGCGACGCTAGAGATTCCGTGGGGGTCGTTGAGATGGGGGGTGCCTCCGCACAGGTGATAGGGGGGAAGGGGGAGGTGGGGGGGGAGGTGAGGCCCCAGGGAGAGGGGGGACGAGGGGTGACAGGGGGGGTGGGGTGGGGGGGGGAGAAGCACCAGGGAAAGTGGGGAGAGAGGGAGGGAGGGAGGGAGGGAGGGAGGGAGGGAGGGAGGGAGGGGGCTCCCCGTTCTGCTTTCCCCTTAGGCTCCCCGTTCGGCCCACTCTCCCCTCTCTCCCATCCCCTTGACTCGCACTCACTCCCTCACCTCTCCCTCCTTCTCTCCTCTCCCTCGTCCACCTCCCCTCCATCTTCACACCCCTCTCCCTCCCACTCCCGCCATCTTCATCTTCATCGTCCCCATCCGCCACTTTCATCACTCCCTCCCTCCCACTCCCGCCATCACCACCCCAGGTTACGTTTGTCCCAGATGAGCCTCCCCCAGATGAGTACCGGCATGACGTGACTCTGGCTGGCGTGGACTACGTGCTCTACTCCCACAGCTTCCTGCACTACGGGCAGGTGGGTGGGTGGGACTGGTGGGGTGCTCTGGCAGCACTGCTGGGAGGTGGGGAGTGGTAAGGAGCCTTGTAACCTCCCCGTCAACCATTTTGAGCACACTCTGTGCCTCAGTTGTCCCCGTAGGTCTAGTAAAGGAGCCTATAGCCTATAATTCGCAGCAGCATCCACCTCGGCACCTCTGCTCCGCCTCCCCCTACCCTCTCCGTCCTCTCACCCGTTTCGCTGACTGCCCGTCGTCTGTCACTTTCGGCCCGTGTCTCCCTCTATGCATCTGCAGGAGGCTGCAGAGGATGCTGCAGACGTGCTTGTGGCTCTCGTATCCGCACAGCAGCAGCAGCAGCAGCAGCTGCCAGGTCCAGGGCGGCTGGATGCGAACGGGTCTCTACAAGCAGGGCGGGTGGTGGGGCAGGGGCAGCTTGAAGGAAGCATTACAGAGGCAGGGGAGCAGCTAAGGCAGGGGAGAGTGGGAGGAGAGGAGCAAGTGGCTGCATCTGACCGCAGGGATGCGGCAGTAGTGCCCGGTGGATCAGGCTCTGCTGCTGCTGCTGCTGGTGCAACTGCTGGTGCTGCTGGTGTTGCGAGTGGTGTTCCTGTCGCTGGTAGCACGCTGGAAGGAGGTGGTGTGGAGGCAAGTGCAGCAGGGATAGTGTACATACCGGGTCCAGAGGTGAAGCTATGGCAAAGCAACCCGTGCAGGCACCAGCTGATACCTTCCTTCCTTGCTCTCTCACCTTCCGCGTCCTCTACAACAGCCTCCCTTTCTGATAAGTTATCCCCAGCTGCAGCAACCGCAGCAGCAGCAGGAATGGGAACGGTTGGAGCAGCAGCAGCCACAGGCGCAGCAGGTGTAGCAGCAGCTAAGGGTTTGGCACTGATTGATCCTCATAACCGCCATAATCACCATCGCCCCGCTAACTTCTCCCTCTGCAGACACCTGGCTGCGCGCCTCTTCACGCACGGCCGCCCAGGTGAATCCATTCTCAGGTGTATCTATTCTCTGGTGGTTTCATTCTCAGGGGAGTCTTTCCTCAGGTTAATCCATCCTCAGGTGAATCCATCCTCAGGTGAGTCTTTCCTCAGGTGAATCCATCCTCAGGGGAATCCATCCTCAGGGGAATCCATCCTCAGGGGAATCCATCCTCAGGTGAATCCATCCTCAGGTGAATCCCTTCTCAGGTGAATCTAATCTCACAGACAGATTTGGTCACACTACACACCTTCCTAGGTCTACGGTCCACCGGTGTAGAGTCTCCCATGTGGTCCCTCCCTGTGCTAAAGAAATCAATGCGTGATGATTCCCCGACTTGCATGCTGCTTCACCAGTCAAATACCACCTCCACATTGTCTCTGGCTCCCCACCTTCCCCTCCTATCTCAACCCCCCCAACCCTCCTATATCCCGCCTCCCTGTCCTCATCAACCACCCGCCGTCTCCCACCCCCACCATTCCTCTCCTCTCTCCCACACCCTCCCATCCAAGGTGCAAAAAAACGGCGTTTTTTACTTTTTTTTACCGTATAAAACGGGATCGTATAAAACGGCCGTTTAATACGATTAAAACGGTTAAAAATGGTGTTTTCTGACTGGTGCAAAAAAGCGGCCGTTTTATACGGTCGTTTTTTTCATACCGCCATAAAAACGGAAGTTCGCTTTATATCGAGGAGGGTGAGGAGGGTGAGGAGGAGGGCGACTAGAGCGAGGAAGGGGAGAACTAGGGTGGGGAGGAGGAGGACAATTAGGAGGAGGAGCAGAGCCGGAGTAGAGTAGGAGGACTAGGAGGAGGACAACTAGGAGGGTGAAGGAAGGGCGAAAAGGACAATGAAAGCAGGTCTAGGAGGACAAGGATGGTGTTGTAGATGCATGTAGGCTGTCGCCGCTCTGTTTCCAAGCGGTTTTTAAAAGCTAAAAGTACAAAAAGAGAGAGAAAGAGAGAGAGAGAGAGAGAGAGAGAGAGAGAGAGAGAGAGAGAGAGAGAGAGAGAGAGAGAGAGAGAGAGAGAGAGAGAGAGAGAGCATGAGCCTCTCCTCAGCTATATAAGGCCCTCTCTCTCCTCATTCTCCTTGTTTAGTTTCCATTCATTCTCTTTTTCTCCCTGTTTTCGGCTCGCGAGAGAGAGAGAGAGCGAGAGAGAGAGAGAGAGAGCATGAGCCTCTCCTCAGCTATATAAGGCCCTCTCTCTCCTCATTCTCCTTGTTTAGTTTCCATTCATTCTCTTTTTCTCCCTGTTTTCGGCTCGCGAGAGAGAGAGAGAGAGAGCATGAGCCTCTCCTCAGCTATATAAGGCCCTCTCTCTCCTCATTCTCCTTGTTTAGTTTCCATTCATTCTCTTTTTCTCCCTGTTTTCGGCTCGCGAGAGAGAGAGAGAGCGAGAGAGAGAGAGAGAGAGCATGAGCCTCTCCTCAGCTATATAAGGCCCTCTCTCTCCTCATTCTCCTTGTTTAGTTTCCATTCATTCTCTTTTTCTCCCTGTTTTCGGCTCGCGAGAGAGAGAGAGAGCGAGAGAGAGAGAGAGAGAGCATGAGCCTCTCCTCAGCTATATAAGGCCCTCTCTCTCCTCATTCTCCTTGTTTAGTTTCCATTCATTCTCTTTTTCTCCCTGTTTTCGGCTCGCGAGAGAGAGAGAGAGCGAGAGAGAGAGAGAGAGAGAGCATGAGCCTCTCCTCAGCTATATAAGGCCCTCTCTCTCCTCATTCTCCTTGTTTAGTTTCCATTCATTCTCTTTTTCTCCCTGTTTTCGGCTCGCGAGAGAGAGAGAGAGCGAGAGAGAGAGAGAGAGAGCATGAGCCTCTCCTCAGCTATATAAGGCCCTCTCTCTCCTCATTCTCCTTGTTTAGTTTCCATTCATTCTCTTTTTCTCCCTGTTTTCGGCTCGCGAGAGAGAGAGAGAGCGAGAGAGAGAGAGAGAGAGCATGAGCCTCTCCTCAGCTATATAAGGCCCTCTCTCTCCTCATTCTCCTTGTTTAGTTTCCATTCATTCTCTTTTTCTCCCTGTTTTCGGCTCGCGAGAGAGAGAGAGAGCGAGAGAGAGAGAGAGAGAGAGCATGAGCCTCTCCTCAGCTATATAAGGCCCTCTCTCTCCTCATTCTCCTTGTTTAGTTTCCATTCATTCTCTTTTTCTCCCTGTTTTCGGCTCGCGAGAGAGAGAGAGAGCGAGAGAGAGAGAGAGAGAGCATGAGCCTCTCCTCAGCTATATAAGGCCCTCTCTCTCCTCATTCTCCTTGTTTAGTTTCCATTCATTCTCTTTTTCTCCCTGTTTTCGGCTCGCGAGAGAGAGAGAGAGCGAGAGAGAGAGAGAGAGAGCATGAGCCTCTCCTCAGCTATATAAGGCCCTCTCTCTCCTCATTCTCCTTGTTTAGTTTCCATTCATTCTCTTTTTCTCCCTGTTTTCGGCTCGCGAGAGAGAGAGAGAGCGAGAGAGAGAGAGAGAGAGCATGAGCCTCTCCTCAGCTATATAAGGCCCTCTCTCTCCTCATTCTCCTTGTTTAGTTTCCATTCATTCTCTTTTTCTCCCTGTTTTCGGCTCGCGAGAGAGAGAGAGAGCGAGAGAGAGAGAGAGAGAGCATGAGCCTCTCCTCAGCTATATAAGGCCCTCTCTCTCCTCATTCTCCTTGTTTAGTTTCCATTCATTCTCTTTTTCTCCCTGTTTTCGGCTCGCGAGAGAGAGAGAGAGCGAGAGAGAGAGAGAGAGAGCATGAGCCTCTCCTCAGCTATATAAGGCCCTCTCTCTCCTCATTCTCCTTGTTTAGTTTCCATTCATTCTCTTTTTCTCCCTGTTTTCGGCTCGCGAGAGAGAGAGAGAGCGAGAGAGAGAGAGAGAGAGCATGAGCCTCTCCTCAGCTATATAAGGCCCTCTCTCTCCTCATTCTCCTTGTTTAGTTTCCATTCATTCTCTTTTTCTCCCTGTTTTCGGCTCGCGAGAGAGAGAGAGAGCGAGAGAGAGAGAGAGAGAGAGCATGAGCCTCTCCTCAGCTATATAAGGCCCTCTCTCTCCTCATTCTCCTTGTTTAGTTTCCATTCATTCTCTTTTTCTCCCTGTTTTCGGCTCGCGAGAGAGAGAGAGAGCGAGAGAGAGAGAGAGAGAGCATGAGCCTCTCCTCAGCTATATAAGGCCCTCTCTCTCCTCATTCTCCTTGTTTAGTTTCCATTCATTCTCTTTTTCTCCCTGTTTTCGGCTCGCGAGAGAGAGAGAGAGCGAGAGAGAGAGAGAGAGAGCATGAGCCTCTCCTCAGCTATATAAGGCCCTCTCTCTCCTCATTCTCCTTGTTTAGTTTCCATTCATTCTCTTTTTCTCCCTGTTTTCGGCTCGCGAGAGAGAGAGAGAGCGAGAGAGAGAGAGAGAGAGCATGAGCCTCTCCTCAGCTATATAAGGCCCTCTCTCTCCTCATTCTCCTTGTTTAGTTTCCATTCATTCTCTTTTTCTCCCTGTTTTCGGCTCGCGAGAGAGAGAGAGAGCGAGAGAGAGAGAGAGAGAGCATGAGCCTCTCCTCAGCTATATAAGGCCCTCTCTCTCCTCATTCTCCTTGTTTAGTTTCCATTCATTCTCTTTTTCTCCCTGTTTTCGGCTCGCGAGAGAGAGAGAGAGCGAGAGAGAGAGAGAGAGAGCATGAGCCTCTCCTCAGCTATATAAGGCCCTCTCTCTCCTCATTCTCCTTGTTTAGTTTCCATTCATTCTCTTTTCTCCCTGTTTTCGGCTCGAGAGAGAGAGAGAGAGCGAGAGAGAGAGAGAGAGAGCATGAGCCTCTCCTCAGCTATATAAGGCCCTCTCTCTCCTCATTCTCCTTGTTTAGTTTCCATTCATTCTCTTTTTCTCCCTGTTTTCGGCTCGCGAGAGAGAGAGAGAGCGAGAGAGAGAGAGAGAGAGCATGAGCCTCTCCTCAGCTATATAAGGCCCTCTCTCTCCTCATTCTCCTTGTTTAGTTTCCATTCATTCTCTTTTTCTCCCTGTTTTCGGCTCGCGAGAGAGAGAGAGAGCGAGAGAGAGAGAGAGAGAGCATGAGCCTCTCCTCAGCTATATAAAGCCCTCTCTCTCCTCATTCTCCTTGTTTAGTTTCCATTCATTCTCTTTTTCTCCCTGTTTTCGGCTCGCGAGAGAGAGAGAGAGAGCGAGAGAGAGAGAGAGAGAGCATGAGCCTCTCCTCAGCTATATAAGGCCCTCTCTCTCCTCATTCTCCTTGTTTAGTTTCCATTCATTCTCTTTTCTCCCTGTTTTCGGCTCGCGAGAGAGAGAGAGAGCGAGAGAGAGAGAGAGAGAGCATGAGCCTCTCCTCAGCTATATAAGGCCCTCTCTCTCCTCATTCTCCTTGTTTAGTTTCCATTCATTCTCTTTTTCTCCCTGTTTTCGGCTCGCGAGAGAGAGAGAGAGCGAGAGAGAGAGAGAGAGAGCATGAGCCTCTCCTCAGCTATATAAGGCCCTCTCTCTCCTCATTCTCCTTGTTTAGTTTCCATTCATTCTCTTTTCTCCCTGTTTTCGGCTCGCGAGAGAGAGAGAGAGCGAGAGAGAGAGAGAGAGAGCATGAGCCTCTCCTCAGCTATATAAGGCCCTCTCTCTCCTCATTCTCCTTGTTTAGTTTCCATTCATTCTCTTTTTCTCCCTGTTCGGGGATGGCAAGCAACTACACAACCATATAGGACTCAGCGGGAGTATACAACATTGGCCACCAAGACCCCTACAGGGCATACTGAAGCAAGCATGGAGAACCTGATCCGCCGTGCGGGGGCGCTCAGACTGCAGGACTCACCGCCCCGCCGCACCTACTCCCGCCACCCTGCTATTCCGCGACAGCAGCCAGCCCGGCCTCCTCCAGCAACGCGGCCTGGTACGACATCAGGACCTGCAGCGTGGACACGGCGCCAGCTACAAGCCCTGCAGCTGACGCCGAGTCTATGCTCGCCGACACCTGGCGGAGCGCGGCGAGAAGGAGAGGGTCCGTGCCAGTTCCCCGGGAGGGCCCGGGCCGCGCGCGCGCAGC